TTCTTCAAGGTAGTGAATCTTCTTAAGCCTGCTTAAGTCTTCTTAATATACACAACAATAGGTATTAAAATTTGAGAAATCTAATCTCGTTTTTCGGGAGACCTTTTAGGCATTGATTGTATCGGCTCTTCTATAAATTATCATGCTCGATCTTTCAAACCTTTCTCTTCAGACGCCCGTATTGTATCTCTATTGGAATTATATGTGCAAGGGTATTCATATGTGCGGTTTCATCCATAAAATATCGCGCAAAGTCACTTATAATTCTAAAGTACTTTGGATTCCGAACGTAAAACCCAGCAATACGCATTAGGCACTCTATAAAAGACATATTTGTTCTTATACGACATAAAATGTTTACTTAGGGTTTAGTCAGTCTGCAGTTTTTCTCTTCTTCTGATAGACACAAGCTTGAAAACTGTTTAGCTCGTAATCGTGAATTCAAAACATCCTTATTGATAAAATGATAATGTAAAACGAATCCCCAACGCTTGTTATTAAATATTAAGAAAGTGACAACTGCAAGAGAAAACTGTAAAGAGCGGTTTGGCTGTGATAGATATCGCTTCAAGCCGAACATTGTGTTTGTGTACAAAATGGTGGTAGTTGGTGGGTGGAAAGCAGATTTCAGATCAATATCTTTTATAACCTATAAATTAAAGTTTTTATGGCTCCGCGCCTAGTTAGAGGCCATGGTCCACGATCATTTTCACACTACGTGCATCAATATTACCGATCTTGGCAGTTCTATTCATTTTCAATCTTGTTCACACGACCTTAGACTTCGATAATCGGCGCAATAAGATAGTCGGATTGCAAGTCGTCATTCGATCAATGTAAAAAATGTCACAATAACTTCTCTTATTCTCTTGTTCAAAATTTCTTTGGTTGAGTGAGTCTTCAGTATGTCAATATGCACAAGCTCATCCGTATTGCAATACCATACCAGTAGCCATAGTCTCTTTGGACATCATCCACTTTGCATTTACGTACACTCGACTTAACTCGGTTGACGAGAAAGCTCTCGCTTGGAAACCGAATTTTTAAAATTCAAGAATTCGAGGTATTGGAACCAATTGTCTAAAAGAAAATTAACAGATGATCTATTATATCATGCCGTTCGATCCGTACCCGTCCAAATTTGAGTAAGCATCAATAATTGTTTTCCTACTTTTACTTATCGGAAAGAGTAACTGAAGAACACGTTTCGTTCATATTTCGATTTGGTTTAAACGTGTGCTTGCAATCTCAACGAGACAACGAGACAGTTACATTATAATCGTCTAAGTAATCGTTAAAGTTCAAATTCTTCTTATTAGGGAAAATTACAATCAAAGTCAATTTCCATTCAATCTGGTTTATATTCATTTTCTTTTATTTTTTTTCTCGAATGAAAGATGGAAAAATGCATTCAAAAGCAACAGAGCATTGAGAATGAAACAAAGGTAATGCAATGCAGTGCAATATTAAGGAGTATGAATTATAAGATTTGTTTTTGAAAATCTCCTTTTAATTTTAAAGAACAAAGCAAATGACGCGTTTCTTGACTTGAAATTATTTCTTCACGAAACGAAAATTGAAAAATAAAAGGCAATAAATAATTTTTAAGCTTAATCACATTCACTAAAACCACACACCTTTAGCTTAATATAATATATAGAGTACATATATACAAACTGAAAAATGGGTTGTAATATAGAAAATGTTATTATAATAATAATAATAATAATAATAATAATAATATTGATAATAATAATTAAAAAATTGAAGCAATATAAATATTAAAATAACAAAAAAGGATACAAGCATTAAAAAATTATTTTAAAAAAAAAAAATTAAATTAAACTTCAAATATTAAAAATCCAAGTTCTAACAAAATTATATAACAGAGGAAGCCAACAAACGAAAAAACAATGACAAGTTAATAAACGTTATAAATTAAATTAAACAAAACACATGAGAAGCAAACAAAAACATAAATTATAAATCAATTATTTAATTCCAAAAGGTAAATAAATACACTGTTAAAATGTTAACACAAGCAATTGTAATAAACTGACATTGAATAAAGACAACATTATAACGAAAATTAAATAAAGTCAAATGTAATTGAAAAAAAAAACACAAAAACAAAAACAAATGACAATAGGTTTTTGCATTTTTCATAAAAGCTTCGACAACTAAAAGTGAGTATAATTTTATATTATTAGCTGTATCTGTACCTTGCGACTTCTATGTCTAACGGTTGATCTTCCTTTCACGAATCTAAACTTGATAGGGAAAGCTAAATAATTTTGTTGGGAAACAATACAATTCAAACGGTCAAACAACTTAGATAAAACACTCAAGTTGGCAATGCCTATACAGTTCCGCCACCATACACGATTTCATGACAGCACAATTTCAGCACACACAATGGATTGCCGAGAGCAAACAAAGCCATTAAACGACATCGGTGGAGGATGTATGGAGATTCTTCTCTTGGAGTTGGCAAATTTGTAAAACTATTTATGAATAGTAAGAAATGAAGATTTTATCATTTGGAGGCATCTGCAATAACTTCGATGGTTAATTAGGTCAAATCTGTGCCTTACACTAGAGTAAATAAAATATCGTAAAATCCGATCTACTTTTTCTGTTCCTCCTATTTTTTTTTAATATTGAACTGTTTTATTAAACCGTGGCCGGCAAACGTTTCAAGAGGACGATTGTCTAATCTGAATAGACGCTGAAACAGCTAGGCTTAATAGATTATAAAATGTAGAAATTAGGGATTCCATATTTTCAGCGGACAAATCAAATAAAATATGTGAAATAAGTGAAAGGTCCGCTTTAAAATCACCTTTTTTCTTAACTTCAACAAATGAGATGGGACTTGTTGAAGAGACTCAACATGGCATCATGCTTGCATTGAAAGAATCATCAAATTGTTGGATAATATGGATGATCAGTTAAACTGAAAGGCAGACAGGGATTTAAAGTTATTTCAGAGAAATTAACAAAGCCAAGACTCAAGAGTCGCCCATTGCAATTAGTCACATGATTGCTTTGCAGAGGATTCCTAAATAGGCCGAATTATGGAGTTTGATAACCGATAGTCACTGGGCCAGAGGAAACATTCACTTTTTTTGTGGGTGGAAATGTCGTTGTAGGTAGGTAGTTTACGAAATTACTATTTCTTTCATTACATATCCTCGCCGCAACAATGATTCATTTAACATCGTAGGAACTAGAATCTCGAAAGAGGATGCGGCTCTTGGTTGTTTTGTAGACATTTTAAAATAGCTAACTCGACTTAAAGTAACGGACGGAGCTTTGTCACAAGATATATTTTAATGTGCTCACATGACATGTCCGTTACTAATCTGGACTTGTGTCCTGCTTTTCGAAGTAGTATGGCTTTTAAAGTCAATGTATTAGTCATGGTGTTCTTAGGACCCGAGGAAGAAATATTTTGAAAAAAAATGGACGGAATGAATCTGCTTATGCGCGCCTCTTGCTGCCACCCGAGTTGCAGCGGGAGAGCCAGGTAGGGAGAAAGATTTCTTATTTTTCTTTTTTGATGACTTGGGCTGGTCCAAGCCAATGGCAGGAGACATTCTTGCCGCATAACTAACACGAGAGTCTAGTAGAGTAGTCGAAGTCGAAGTCGAATAGTAGAATATATATATAAATATATATATAGAATAGTCGATTTGTTGACTGCAACCACTCCACCGTCTTCTATAAAAATTTCTGGTTAAAATTGCGCTCAGAAAATGGTTCGGTAATGCAACGAATTTAGTCTTGCGAAACTTTTTGGTCACTGATCGTCACGCTGAGCGTCTTTTATGCTCATAGTAAATAACTTGATGCAGTTATCTACAACCTCTATAGCAGACATAGAATTAACATAAGTTTATTAGTTATTTAAAGTATTAGTAAGGGAACGTCGATAACTTTTCCAAAGTAGACATCATACATCGACACTATCGGTGGCAAAAAAATCAAAAAGCTCAGTAGATTCTTGGCGGACACAACGATAATTCCATAATATCACTTTAGGCATTGCTGTATCCATTACCTAACATGTGCATACAAATACTTGATAGTTAATTGCGTTATAACAGTAAATTGTTCTCGCTTAGTTGCACATCTTGTAAGATTATTAAAAGATTATTATTATCAAAGGATAACTAAGTGATTTCATTTTCTGAGAAAAGATCGACATTAATCTTAAGCTTAAGCATTAAGGCAAATGATTGCTTATGTTGCAAATTCGTTGTAGTGCTCTCTTAACGATACCTTTCATGGTCAAGAAAGCAATGTTAACTCAGTATCCATAACAGAGGAGGATAGAGACAAAAGTATTAGTTTATTTTATTTATTTACTATAAGCATAAGAAACGCTCTAGAACGCCCAGTGCCCCGAAAACTTTGCTATATTGAATTTAATTGGAATCTGTTGTTATTATGAAAGAGAGTGAAGTCATTATCGACTACACGTTGACCATCATGAGAACGATAGTTATAATAAACTGAAGAGGTACATATTTTAGAACCACAGTTAGAAAACAAATATAAACGTATACATATATTTGTATTGCTAAATCATTATAAGGATTAAAATAAATTCTAGATATATATGAAAATAAGTAAAACTTTTATTCTCCATGGAACCTAAAACTAATGCAAATTTTAGGTTGGCTGAGAAAAGAAAAAAAAAACATATATATATATACTATGCACCTATATTATGAGCGTACTGTATAAACTGAAACCTTATTGTACGCAGAAGTTACAATTTAATAATAATAAGTTTTCACTTAGATCCATGAAACTTTTGATGAAATTTATGAACCGGCAAAGAAACTCAACAATCCACTGCGTCACAATCCTAAAGCTAAACTGGGCTGATAAATGGACAAACACCATATAATGTAAACGTTGATTTAAGATAATCGTACATACTCCACAACGAATCAATTCTATTGACTCAACAAAAGAAAAGTATCTGCTATTTTATTGTATATGAATTTATTTGCAAATTAAGAGAAATTTGAACTGCTTTAAATATCTTCAATCATTCAATATGTTTAAGGATAATAGGTGGGCTTCCATTTCTTTTTACTTTTAGGACCTTCAGGTCGTAATACCTTCGGGATGTATTCCTTTTGATGCTGATCCAATGTACGCCGCCATGGATTAATATTTAGTTCGAAGAAGCGTCGTCTTGCTTCTAATGGCCTCGTTTTATTATCAATTTTGTAGATTTTCTCCCATAAATAAATTTCCGGTAGCTCTAAATGACGTGAACGATTAGAAGCCAAATATTTGTAAGTCTTATCTAAGAAATCACGCTTTTCGTCGTCCGCATAATCCGCTATACGTTTAATCTGGGCATTCAAATAAGGTTGCAACTCCGCAGCTGAACGTTGAATATTCGGTATTTTTGTATAGAATTTTATCAAATGCCGTAATACCAAATCATTAAAGCCCTTTATTTTTCCGTTTTCATCAATTGCTTCATAAAGATTTAATTCTTCAGTACCTCGACAATAATTCACTTTTGGGTTTCGATCAATTTGATTACTATTCGTCAGTAAAGTATTTAACTGATATTCATAGAAGGACCACGAACGCCCGTTTGTTACAATGGTCTGACTATTCATTGGATATGTTAACTCACTATACGTATTAAAACCATTATAATTAGCTTGAGCCAATAGCCAAGCAAAACCTGATTGTATAGCTTGAGCATGTAGGGCATCCTTGAAATCATCAGCACCATAACTAGCGGGGCGTATTTGCATGACTGCGCGCGACTGATAAGATAGGTAACCAAATCCGGGCAAATTGCTGGGCCAATAACCTATAAGAGCATAATTAGAAATGTAGTCGTTTAAGTGGAAATGTTTTCGAGCAAAAAGTACCGGCTGTATTGGTGCCGTGTCTATAACTTTTCGTAAAACCTAAAGTAACCGGATCAAGCTCATAACGTGGCAATTTTTCTGCTAATTTCGGATTTTCTATTTCAGTTTCTTCCTTCCAAGGTGCCAATTGAAAACGATGTCTTAGCGCGAGTAAAGGTGAACCCCTATACTGCATTAGTCGATCGACTGGATCTTTCGCAAATTCTTTTTGCCATTTGTGACCTTCTTTAGATTTTACAATATTTCGAGGTGGTTTAATGCCACCAACAGCCCAAAAAGCTTCATGCCGTGGATTATAATCAACTTCTACTTCTTGTAAATGCTGGTAATCGGCGGCTAAAACATTTATTAAAGCGCGATTAATCTGTTCCACAATAGTTTGACTCAATAATTGGTCGCGTTCGATAAGATCCAATTCGGACGAAATAGGATACTTTAATCTGTTTGGAGTCCAATATATATCTCAAAAAAGTTCGTTTTACATAAATACACAACTAACCTGAAACAGTCACAAGCCGTTTCTATAGCATCTTGAATATCGGCCCTTACGATTTCTACTTGATTTTCCAATATTTCATCACTAACTTTCGAAGACATTTTTTCAAATACTGTTCGGGTGTAGTGCTGAAGAGCTGGCAAACAGTTGTATGGCAAACAGCGATCATGTAAATCCACCACTTTATAACCATAATAACGGGGCATATTGATTTTAATCATCTTTTCTTCGACTGTGGGAACTTTCATAATTTCTTCATGCCAATTTTGGGATTCCCTCTCTTTACGCGGTCGAAAGGAAAGATCATGTATAGGAGGGTACTGCGGTATTTCCGTATAATCATCATTGCTGGTCGAATTCTGTGCAACTAATTGTGATTGTTGCCTTTTAATATAAACAGATTTTTGAGAAAAAGTAAATAAACCGGAACGCAACGGCGTTCTACATCGCGCTATAAACATTTTTTTAAATTGTTTTGACTACAAAAATCTCATTCTTAATATCTACTTGAAACACAAACGAGAACGAGGTTGTGAAAGCAGCATATGGTTCTAGTTATCCATGGTTTCCCTTTAAAAACTTTAACCTTCTTACCAAGTCTGGCAACTACATACAATTGTTTACTTCAATTACCAAATACATAATTTGAAAGCAAATACAATCTTCAGTATATAAATTAATCACGCTGCAAAGATTATCATATTTTTGCTCAAAGGGAACATTGGAACAAACACTAAGTATTTTCAGTTTCATCATTTTTGGCTTTGCAATCAAGTGGCCATGAAGATATCAACACATTCTCAGAGCGGGTAGCATATAGCATAAAAACGGAAATAAACAATTTAACTGGCTCGTCATGAATGTAAAAGTACAAAATTAACGAAGGAGGAGGAGGCTTTAACCTTCTCATGGACGATTTTTTATGGCCAGAAACAACGTTTTTGTTTACAAGACTTATTTTATTTTATTATTTTATATTAAAAGGAATTCAAAAACCGAAAAAAGTGGGGAAAACAATGAATAATTACAAAAAGAAGTCCACATTTGTGGTCGCTGAACGAACATGGCAATTTATGAGTGATATGGTTTCATTCATTCCGGCCATACCGGTTCTTCACCTTTCTCACAAATGCAAGTAGTTCGTCTTACATAATTTTTGTCACACATCTTGAGGTGGCTTTCAGTTCCTTTTATTTTGGGATAATGTCCTAAACCGTGCAGTCTTATTTCAGGATGAACTTTAGTACAACTTTTGGATTTTTTAAGTAGTTGTTCCCATAAAAATGAAGATCGACCTCTTCCTTAGGCTCGTGCATTTGCTGATATCATTGACGCTATTGACGCTTTAAGCGCCAGAAGAGACATTATAATGTTTTCGAGATGTCAAAAAATCCATGAGCTAAAAATGAATACATTTAAATATTGAGAAGCGAATCTATTGCAAAATTTTCGCGTTTCTGCAGAGTGAGGACGTATGGAGAGATAATATAGGATTGATTACGAATTGTGTCAAGAGTACTAATTAGATAATTAGAGAAGAAAGTTGGAGCAAAAGAAAACAAAATGAATCAATTCCTTTACCTTTGACAAATTTAAAAATTTATCCTAGTAAGTAAATAATTTTGTTTGAAATTTATTTTATTTTCAATTTGCAGCTGTTTTCCCTTATAAATGCAACTCTAAACAACAAATACTAACGGAAAACGCGAGCTATTTTACTTACGCCTGATTTGACAGCTTTGAGAGAGCGTTTTTTCCACCTAGAGTGAATACATATGGCGAAAAAATTCGTAACTCGAAAATGAAATCTAGTTAGCGCCATACATACTCAGTATCCATATCGTTTCATAAATGACCTTACGCACAGTTGCAAAACGCGATTTTATATCGTAATAAAGGATAATGTACACGTTGCGCGATCACCCTGAGTTGAACATCTATGAAATCACAATGCAAGAAGTCCATCTTCGTGCTTCTGTTAAACCTACTTTTCGTAATTCCCTATTTCACTAATCAATGAAAGCATTTTTTTTGCTTACATATTAATTTTGTTTTTGTTTCCCTTTTCATAGATATGATGTTTACATTTACGTTTTTTATTCATTTTTGTTGCACAAATGTTAGTTATGTAAGTTATACACATCTTTTTATATAAATTAACAGTCCCCCAAAAAATAATATGGTAGCGCGACTTCTGATTGTGATTAAATTTGGGACTTATTTACCCGAAAAACGGAATAATGCATCATTAGGTTTTCTCCGTAAATGAGAGACATGCAAATTTGCTGGAGTATTGTATATTTTATAAGCATTTTTTGATGATCTAAATTTAAAAGCAGTGAAATGGATTACGAGTTGAGAATACTCGACATCTGCCTAACTTGCAAAATTAAAAGGTCAGAAATCTTATACATTTTAAACTTGATATGTTAAAAGAGTAACTTGTCCCTTATGTTGACAATTGGAAGTTTTAACATAATTTATTAAATTTATTTTCTGGTTTTCTTCCGACTTATGATTGGGTTAAAATTGGAGGAGACCATTGAATCATATTTATGACATATGTAAGGATATTGATAGACCCACACGAAATACGATATAGTTGAGTCCATTCCCAACAGCAATGTCGACCGTGTTCAGTGGCGGGTACCTTTGAAATTAGATAATATTGTAGACGTGCATGCTATAGTTTTAATCTGTGCTGAAATTCAATTATAAATTAAAAGTACTTTAAAAGTAGGAGGAACAGATCCGGATTTGGAGAAGGGGAGGGGACGCTTGGCGTAATGAGGCACGATTTACATTTTCGGATTGAAACCTCCCAAGTGGTAAACACAACGGATAGCCGCGCTATTATATCGTTCTACAGTAGAATGTAAAGAACACATGGTTTCAGAACCAAAAATAAAGAAATCAACGTAAATGTAAACAACAGTCCTATAAAAAATAATGAGGAATTTAATATAGAAATAAACAAGCATGTTTATTGATTAGTGATAAAGAAGATAAGATAAATAGGTAAAAAATGCAAACAAATGAGAAGAGATTCGATAAGTCAACACCACGTTCTTGAAACACGTGATGCTGACTAAGTATTTGCAACATCATTTGAGCAAATGTATCTGCACAACTGTTAGAAACTTCAAGAAGCTGTAAGGATGAACCCGGACAGTTTTGATTTGTTATATGAATATCTTGGAAATCAACCTCACAAAAATTCAATTCGTTCGCCCATTTCAATTAAACGTAAGTGATTTCTTAGACATTTTACGTTTAGATAGTGTTCAAAATCTCTCACTATCATTTAAAATGGACAGTGTCAACAGTGGCCAAAATCATCTACGAAACATGCGAAATCAAATAGGAAACGGTAACAGCTGCGTGCGTAGCCCCACCCAACAAACGTGGATGGAATAAAATAGCTAGATTTCAAAAACATGCGGTATTGGTGCAATTGGTGGCAAACACATTGCTGTTTTTATAGTCTACATCTCTCTTTTATAATTATAAAGGTAAATTTTTATGATAAGAAATAAATCAATCATTTTTATAAAATTTTGTTCTATAGGTAATTTCTATATGGTACTGTTAGGAAACTATGATTCAAATTATACTTTAACAGGCGTAGATATCGATGCTTATGATTGCCAAAGTATTGGAACGGTTTTAAGGAATTCTATGCAAAGCTCCGTCACCGACAATTTATTAATAAATTGAATATTCCACAAACAGCTCTGATACCGCACTGTAAATGTAATGTTTGTACGTTTTTTTGTGGCTGGTTGAGAACACATGTTTATTTAAATGTACTAGTTATACTTTTATAGAAATCAAATTAATATTGCATGTTTACTATAAATTAGATAACTGTCCATAAATAATTATAATATGCTGTTAAAAACTTTTTAAAAATTTTTATAAAACATATAACTTACAAGGTAATGTTTGGTTGTCAAATATGTTATTATCAAAACATTGCTAAGTATGGCAGCTCTACCATCTCTAACCTGGCAGCATTAAATATTGTCGCATCAGAATTTCGCGATAAAAAGGACAAGAATTTTTTCGTAAGAATTTGTCATAATCGGAATCCACATATTTTCCTTTGAATTTCATTAAGAGGGACCAATCCAAATACAAAAGTATATTAAAATAAAAACAAAATAATGTCGTAAAATTTAGTGGAGAAAAGATTTAATTTTTCAAAGTAATAAACAAGAAAATATAATTTGAGTAAAAAGGCAAAAATGAAAATGAAATAAAAAGTAAAAGTAAAAGTGTTTTTCTATTCGGCTTTGATTAATTGGTGAAAAATAGGAAAACGAAATAGACTTGAAAGAATCATCTCGAAAGAAGGAAAATAAAAAGCCCGCGTTTTTGCAAAAGCTTTATTACTGCAAATAAAATATTGTGGAGTTCGATTTATTTCTGCGTGTTGTGTGCGTGTGTGTGCGTGTAAAAAATTAGAAAAAAATATATAAAAGTGGATATAATTCTTGAAAAGAGAGCAAAAAAAAAATTTTATTAAGGTGCCTGACATTTTTGAAGCGAATCTACCACGAGGTTTGTACAAAAAAAATGAATGTTATTAAATTAAATATGGCGTACGAAGTATGCGCTAGCATAAAGAAATGAAATACCGCTAACTCAAGCAACAATTAGTACTAATAGAGAAACTGCTTGAATATTTTATAGCATTTTTGTATACCCAAAAAAAATTTGTTGGTAAGGGAAAGTACCGTTGTTTTCAGTTAAACGCAACAGTTTCTCAAGGTTATTAGATTAGTTAAAGAATTCTTATATTCTATTGAAATTAATGATGAGTTATCGAAACAATTTAAGCTATAGATATTCGATCGCATTTATTTTTTATAAAGCATCATATAGTCAAACTAATAATTAATTAATAACATGGTGTGTAATTCTATAGTTTATTGATTGTTTTAATTGCAGTTTGTTGAATTAATAAATATACTCTAATTTACTCTTTTTTTTACAGCAAATCATTAAAAACACCGCACAATGCAAGAATGGCATTATAACAAATACGCAATGAAGTAAGCTTGCAGCAAAGATTTTAATAAAGACACTGGAATCTCCGGTAAAAACATTTCTCTGCCGCAATAAAGTTAAGGTATTAAGTAGGAATATGCTGTAAATGTAGAACACAAAAAACTGCAAATGAATGCTAACATTAAACTCTACGTTTATCTGAAATTGTAAGAACACCTGTTAAATCAAAATGTAGGCACAGCAGTTCACATCAGGCCTTCACATCATGTATATTGCTAAAATGATAATTGTTATTAGTTTGGTTTTAAGAAATTGAATAGTCCAGAATATTATGCAAGCTTTATTATTATTTTTTTTTTAACTTTATACCAGAAGTGCAAAGCATAATGGTAAAATAAGCTGTCTCAGGCATTTTTTATAAACACACCTCGTAGACACGCGAAGTGATTACCAAGTACGTGCATACACATATATATATACATATTTATGATAATAGAGAAGAGGGGAAATTTTATAAAGTGTGTTGTATGCTAATATTAAAAGCAAGAGATTAAAAATATGTTCGCCAGTGATTTAAAAATCTTAACACTTTCTGCAACTACAATTCCTACAACGGTTTTAAATAATAAATCGCCCATAATGGTCACAGCACAAGAGACTCTCGAATACAGCAGTTGCTTTCAAGGCGATTCATTTAAGGGCAGGCGACAGCAATCGTATGAGCATCAACATCAGGGAAAGCAGCAGCAAAGCATAAAAACGAAATTCTCACATAATTCTAATAAGTTTCAGACACAACATCAACAAAAATATCACAATTATAATAGTAATGGCAGTACAAACAATCACAATAACAAATCTAAGAAGAAACATTACAATAATAACATCAACTCAACATCAATGAATCATAAAAAGTATTATCACCAACAGCAACAGACAGCTCAGCAACTACAATACGAGCAACAGCAACATCAGTATCATTCAGCTACCAAAACGAGCATCAATAATAAAAACAACAACAATAATAATAATAATTGTTTAATCAAAAATAAAAATTACACTGCCGTAGATTTACTAATACATACAAATAATAATAGAAAAGGATCTCAGCAAGAATTGCCCTCTCCAACCGTAGCTTCATGTTCTCAATCTAATTCAACAGATCAACAGCAAACTATTATTTATGAGCAAACGGAAGCGAACCAAGTGCCATTAAAAACTTCTCAAACGGCAAACTCTTTAAGTGCCGTTTTAATAACGACGACCACCACCGCTAGCAGCAATACGCACACAAGAGCTTCTTGTATTAGCTGTTGGACGAATTTAACGAAATTATCGCCTCCCTTAGCAAATTTGAAAAGCAATAAACCTGCGTTATACCAGCAGCAGCAAAAATCTTCGAAGTTCCACACTCGAAGCATTGCATTTACTTCCACAAACAGCGGCAGCAATTTGCAAGATTTTGTTGCAGTTGCTTTGGCTGCCACAGCTGCCAGTAAATGTAGTTTCAATGCTAGTCAAAGTTCTTCCGCTAAAACATCGCAACAGCACGTGCCGAACGGTTCGGCAGGCCCTTCTAAAAGAAAGTCATTCTGGAAAAATAATTCAAATAGTACAGTAGTAGGGGGTGGAGGAGGAGGCGGAGGAGGAGCAGGAAGTGGAGGTGCCACAGCCAACAGCACACAGTCGCCTAAACAGAAAAAAACGATCAGTGGCGCGCAAGATAAGGTAAATGAGTGAATAAAAAGTTGCATTACTTGATTCTGTCTGTTGACAATTTTATTAATACACAAATATGCGTGGACTATTAGTTTAATTGCTGCGAAGGTCATTTAATCATTTCTTAAAAATAAAAAATTGATCTCTCCTAGGCCTCAGTTCAAGAAAACACATTACAGACGCAATACGCCGGTAACAAATCCAACTCTCAGAAAGGGAGAGGGGGGGCGTCGACAAGTCAGCACCAATTAGCAGTTGTAGAGAAATCAGCGATGACCACCGCCTTAGCAGGTGGAACAACAGTCTCAGCAGTTTCAACGCCTACAACTACAACAGCAACATCCACTATAACCGAAAGTCACACATCAACCTTAGCGATAACTTCAGCACCTGCAGGAGCAGTAGCATCAACTTCACCAAATTCGTGTTTAAATTCCTCTCTGGCAACATCGTCAGAATTTGTAGTAGATTCCCAATTCACACAAGAGCAACTAAAGCATGGTAGTAGGCAATCACCAGAAACCAACGTGTTAGGTGGTAGTAGTATTAACGGTAATAACAGTTTAAATTTGAAAAATACCGAAGCAATATCCGTAGACAATTTTATACCAGTCACAACAACAATTTCACGAAGCAGTAGCACCAGCTCTTCGCCAGGCAGTGGGCCATCATCACCTAATTCCTACACTTTGGACTTTTTGCATTCAGTTGGTGTCCAGATGACCGGTGGCGCAAATTTGGCGGCATTTAAGGCAAATAACAACATGAATAACATGAGATCATCTTCCTTGACAGGTAAATTAGCGGGGTGAAATATTTGTTTTTGTCGGAAAATAATATATTTAATCGATAGGCTCTACTGCCACATTGTACAGTAACCACACAGTAGGGGCTTCTCCCGCAAGTAACAGTTATACATTCGCAGCTATGGCAGGAGGTCAACGTCAGCAGCATTACATGTTTGGTGGCGGCGGTACTGGAGGTGGTAGTGGGGCAACTGCAGGTAGTGAA